AATTTTTCAAAATCTTACTGTTTTTATATCAAGCAATATGCTGGATTATATCAGGTTATATTATGGTTACATTTAATAATTAGATATAATGTTTTAATGTTGCTTTCAATTTTTTAGCATCACCTCAACAATCAACACCACAAGCATCATCTACTACAACAGGAGTTACGTATGGATCTAGTGTACCATCAAGAGGGGGTGTTCCTACACCTCCATCTTCTCATCTGTCTGCTATGAATCAAGTACAGTATATTGCAATTTAATTTTTTTTTGTTATAATCTAAGAATAAAATCATAATTTATTTTTAGCCAAATCCACCAAATGTTACTATTACCACAAAAACCACACAATCTCAGCAGTTAACAACACAGCATGTTGATAACATTAACAGACCAACAAGGGGCCAATCTCCTGTCCCTCTTGGTAATACATATTTTATTAAATTAAAATAGTTTAGTTTTTAAAATTGTGAATATTATTTAAATATATTTTTATTTTTATTTAGGATCTCGTATTTGGAATCAAGCAACAAATCCCTCATCTCCTGTATCAACTCCACCAACTACCAGTGTATTAGCAAATCAGCTGTCTGTTGCACCTGGTATTGCCAATGTTGGCCATCCATCTCAACAGAATGTTCAACTTTCAACTCTTGTATCACAATCTCAGTCTGGATTTGTCACATCTCAACCAGGTAATGATATTAATTATGTATTCTGTTACTTAAATAAATTTTATATTTTTTTATTATTTAATCACAAAATTTAGCTATTGGTAAACTCTCACACATTTCATTGTTTAATTAATCTTATTGTAACAGGAAAACTAATTTTCATTAAGTTACAATTTAAATAATTTTCTTCATATAAAATAAGATGCTTAAGTTTGTAATGTACTCTTCTTTTTCATAAAAAATATTGTAAACATCAACCAAGTAAGTTACATATTTAGTTTTTTAAGAATTACTGTATTATGTTTTTTTATATATTTATTTAGTTTATGCACACATCAATATATGGTTTTCTACAACAAACTGATAATGTCATAGCCCAAAATGCATGTCTGTTGAAAACAAAAAAAAAATGACTCTTTTTTAAAAAGTAGTTTTCCATTGTACGACAGATCTTTGAAGGAGATAATAGCTAATTATGACAGAACCACAGAAACTCCAGATAAAAAACAAACACATGCTTAAGTTTATTATATTTAATTTAATTGATTAAAGATCTGTAAATGATTGCNTGAACAAAGATTCCTTTTGTTTTTGCTTACAGAGATTCTGTGCTTTTTGAAGTTTCCTTTGATAGGTTCCTGCATTGTGTATTCTTTTTCAAATCAGCTCCATTCTTTGATCAACCTTTGACTGACTTGCTCAACTCATTGTATTTCCCACACTATAGTGACTCCAGCTTTGTCTCCTGGTACAATGACAAGGTTTAACATCATTTTTTGGATTGATAATCCTCTTGGTTTGAGGTTAACCAGGCCCAATCAGTGAACAACTATTATGTCTGTTTGCGAATCATGCTCTGCTGTCATACTACTTTGAAGATTCTTTTCTGTCATCGAGAACTCTTATGTTGAACTTTGGACTGTTCATTGAATGGATCTTGTCAACTTCAGACCAAGGAGATTAGCAGTCCAAAAACAATGTTTAATCCTTGTCATTGTACCAGGCAGCAAGACTGGTATAATGGATTCACCAGTGTGTAGGAAATAAAACAGATCAGACAAGTCAGTCAAGGTTAATCAAAGAATGGAACCGATCAGGTAAAACAGATTCAAGAAAGAACACACAAGCAGTGGTGATATTCAGCGGGTTTGCGCAGGTTCAGCCTAACCCATTGTTAACATTTTCAAAGTTTTCCGAAACCACTGTTAAACACGCGTAACATTTCTCAGTGGTTTTGTTTCTTTTTAAAAAAAATTTATTAAAATATACATATTATACTCTGTAACACTACTAAACTAGAGCCTTATACCCCATTCGCCTTGGTGCAACCTCCATCAACCATTTCAATCTCAACTGAAACAAGGTTTAATCGCGATCGACTCGAGAGTTCTTGAAACTAGGTCCAGTCATATGAGAGATCCCACAATCCCACGCATGCGAGAAAATACAAGATGGCTGTGGAACACGTGTCATGCTATTGACAGCGAAATAAAAAAGATATTGTATTTCGAGAGACGATGACATCTGTCTATTATTATAATAATACCTAATGATAAAATAAATGATTTTGAAAAGTTTTTTCTTGAGAAAAAGTCATAAGGAAAGCAATTAAACCTGCTTTCCATATGACTTTATCTGATTAAAAAAAAAGCCAATTTTTATGTTTATAAAATATTTTGAATGAAAAATATTAAAATATGTACAAAATAAATCATTTTGAACACTTTTTTTATTATTTATCAAAAAAATATAGTTCTGGCATAAACAATATTAAATTTTAACTGACTTAATTTTGCGAACGCATCTTTTTTATTTATATGGGTATCTTAAGGTCAGTTTTTGCACTAATGTTGCTAATGCACCATTTGAGCGAAAAGAAATTGTTAAGGAAAAATTTTCTGTTAGCAAATCCTTTGTTAAATATTTTGAATATCACCATTGCACACAACCAATATAGGGACTTATCAAAGAGGACTTCAAAAGGCACGGAACCTCTGTAAGAAGAAACAAAAGGAACCTTTGTAGAAAAGAACACAAGGAATCACCTCATGTCCTTGAGACATGGTTTTATATCTATTTTGATCTTTGCTTGCTCATATCAATTGGTCACTACGTGTCTCCAGGTATAACTCAAGACCAATTCAGACCATGGGAAAAGTCAACATTTAATTCAATACCAAATTCCAATCCTAACCAGAGACAGTTGATCTTAAGATTTATTTAACATTGTTTAAATCAGCTTCTCTATCATGTAAATGTTGAAGTTTTTGTCTCTGGTGATAATTTCTATTAAAATTTTTTTGATCAAACTTTTGGTTAAACTTTTTCTATAAATTGATACATAAATATTTCATTTGTTGTTACTTGATCAACTCTTACATAAAGTTATTTGTTAAAATCTGAATATTAACTGAAATTGAAAATTATTTTTTGGAATGGGTAGATAGTTTAACTAAATTTTAAATTTTATAACTCATCTTTAAGAATGGAAGCATTAAATTCTAGTACAAATAAAGATTTAAAATAAAATTTAGAATATTTTTGAATAAAAATTTGATTAATCTTAGGATGTGTTTGAAAATTGTATCTATCTTAAGTTAAGCTAGAATTTAATGATTTTACTCCTAAAAAATAGTTATAAAACTCAAAAGCTATTAAGATTACAAAGTATTTGTTTATTTGTGAAACTTCAATAAAATGAGTTTGTACATTTATAATTTGGAGTTTGGTTTCAATTATGGACATTAACCTTTAAAACACATTTTAAAAATATAAACGAAATTTAACAAATTTACATTAAATGTGAAAGAGGCAGAGTTTTGATATCTTCAGTAACAAGTTTTGAAGATCAATTTTAAAAGATTATTTAATTAATTCAACAAGTTTAGAAGTTTTTACTTTTATGAATAATGTAAACCTACTGATTATAATTGTCCTTATAGTTTAAGAAATAGATAAGAAATAAGAAATATAAATAGTTTTGATCAGGTATGTCAGATATCTCCTCCTACAGAACATATATAAATATATTATAGATATTTTCACATTGTTAATGACAATGTAAGTATTTATGAATTTAATATTAAAATAAAATTTTCCGTAGAGATTTATTATATTAGTAAATGCTATCTTAAACAAAGTTTTATTACAGTTATTTCTGTTTTATATATATATTATGATTTATTTTATATAAATTTGTCAGTTACATCTATTTAAGATTAAGTTTTATGCTTGAATCGAAATAGGGAGAAATTTTTATATTGTCCTCTCACTAGTTAAAACATTTTAAAAACCATGTTTTTAAGATGTTTAACCACTTGGAAAATGTTAATTTTTTATGAAATGTGCCAAGAAAGTTGTTGCCAAATCTAAATTCTAGTGGCATTTTTGCAAAAAAACTAGCAACAACTTTAAACCCTGTATTTTGGTCTGTCTTTCTGCTATCAAGTTTACTTGATGATTATAACATTTTGAGAATGTATTATTCAGATACATATACAAATGTACATTTACAAAGAAATTTCATGATTAAGATTCAGAATATTTTGAATTTTATACTTCAAGATTTTGAAATTTTATATTGCATGGAATAATTGTGGGATATGTTTTCAGCAATGATGTCAACTCAAAGTGGAAACGTTCGTACAGGACTTCCATCGGTGACATTGAGAATGGCAAATCCCTCTCCTGTAACAACAATGGCTGGTGTTGGAAACACAAACAATCTTACAGTACAAATTGGACAAATTCCCTCATTTACTCAACAACAAAATCAACAACAACAAACAACTATTGCAACAAGTATACCACAGCAAACTTTATCTGTCAGTATGCCATCAAAAGTAGTAAATGTAGCAGGATCACTTGTTACGTCTCAAGCAATTGTACCTATTGCAGCAAGTGTTTCATCTACTGTACAAGCTTCCCATACTGTTCCAGGAGCTTTACACTCAGCAATTGCAGGTCAAGCAGGACGTCCTCAAACCCAATCTGGAATGATGGTTGCAATGTCTAAGGAAAGGATGCAAATTTGGCAAGGATTTATAGAATTTCAAGAGAAGGGACTTTCTAGCGGAGGAAGTGCTAGTCGTGTATGTCACAACCTCCGCGGTACCATATCTTGCAATGTTGTAAATGGAGAGCCTGAAGTGTAAGTAATTTATATAAATTACACTATAATAACAATAAATGAAGAATGCACTTTAAAAGTTATTTTATTTAAAAATATTAAACACCCAATATATGCTATTTATTATAGTTTTGCTATTTCTTTCCATTATTCTTTGTTGTTTGTGTTTTTCATATATTAATTGGTAATAAATAATAATTATTTTTTCTTGTATAGAAATGCAGACAAATGGCCAAATAAGGTTGCAATGCAACTTCTACCCAGGCATCTCATCAGCACACCTAATGTAACAGCCATTTTAAAAAATGCAGCAAGACATATTTATGTGCATTTCCCACAAGATACAGAAGCGGTGCAAAAATTAACTAAATTTATGAGTTCAAATTGGGTAAACATTCTGATATATTAATTTTTAAACATAATATTGAAATATTTACTATATTGTTTAGTATAAAATATTTAAAATGATATTACAGATTGGTTGTATACAGTTTACTCCACCAAATGAATTACGTATCATGTTGATTCTGTATATGACTGATAAGCAGATTTACATTGGGGCCATTCCAAATGACCAAGATGGCTTTTTAGCAGTTATTCGTCAAATTTTTGAATCATACAGAAAACAACAAGCTGCAAAACAACAAAAAATGGTATTTCATTTGCTTTTTTTTTTTTACAAAAAAGTTTTAAATACAGTTTTTCTTTTTTTAATTATTTTTTTAAAGTTGACCCAACTGTCAGGTGGTGGTACAATACCAGGTTCTTCTACAATAGGATTATCAACAACAAATGCTTCTCCTCAGACTTTAATAATGAATCAAGTAAGATATTACTTAATTATATCAGGTACATCATTAGAAAATTTTTAGGATGGTCTAGTGGAATAAGAAACAACACACTTAAGTATGTTATCAAATAACATTTCATATTTTCAAGAAAACCTTCAATTGCCTACAACATACCTAATTTCATCCTTTTTGGATACAATATCCCAAATATATTTACAATCTCATCATTGTTGACATGAAAATTATAATAACAATGACTTAGGATCAGTCCTTAAGGTAACATTCAGTCATTGTTCTCATCAGCTCTCATTAGTTGCTGTCTTCTCAGCATGCTGGCTGATCTTTTGCATTCACATAATGTTCACAATCTTTTGCATTCAAGTGATGTGGGGAAACATATCTGGATTTCATGTTTTCATGATTGTGCAACTTCTTGTCAGCATTTTTGCCAATCCAGTTTTTTTATTGAAATATTAGAGAGGTTGTGGCCGACGTTTTCATCGCAAAAACGTGTATGTCGGACGTTCAGTGCCGCCTTCCTGTAAGCCTAGAAGTTTGACAATGGCGTTTGGAAGGTCAATGGAATCATGCTCGACGTATCAAACACCATTGTCAAACTTCTAGGCTTACAGGAAGATGGCACTGAATATCCGACGTACACGTTTTTGCGATGAAAATGTCGGCCGCAACCTCTCTATTTTGCTTTTAAGCTCAGAACTGGGCAGATCATCATAATACATGTTGATGAGTCTTCTGAGATGCAACCTCATATTTTTAAAAATCATAAAAAATTTAAATTTATCAAATATGCTTGAAAGTATCATATTAATAAATTATTACCAAATAGAAATAAATAATATATCTTACAAATTATATAATACTGTAAAAATATAAAAATACAAAACAATTTTAATATATATGTATATATTGGAAAACCTTGTGACTTAGGCTGGGTCACCATTCATTACATTATTAATTAAAATTTTATACAATAAAAACAAAATTTAACCTTAAAAATATTGTATTTTTATCATTAAAGAAGTATAAATGTCAGTTGGAGCCTTGCTTTATGATGTATTATAACAAGGCTTAAAAATGGATCTACAGACTCATTAGATCTCCCACTGACAATGTGCATGCTACATCATTTTAAAAATTTAAGTAATAATATAATGTGATTATCTTAGGCAAACCCTGCTAATATTGTAACAAGTACACAGCTGGGTGCAAGGCCAATGATGCAAGGTCCTGCCCAAAGAGCCGTTGTGCAAACAAATCAACAGCAACAACAACAACAAAATCAAGGCCAAGCTACTGTTGTGGCCCCTCTTAATCAACAGACTTCTCTTTCTCAACAACAAAGATTATCACAACTTGAAGCTGAAAGACAGCAGAATTTGGTAAAGTTAAACTATTTGTATAAACTTTTTTATTATTTCTTATTAATAAATTTTCTTGTATATTTTATTTACAGTTTTTATCTCTATATCTGTGTTAAAATTTCACTTTTTATATTTATTGTTTAACAGCTAAAAATTCAACAACTTCAACAAACACTTGAAGCTGCTCAGCAGAAAGAATTGCAATATAAAGCAGCTCAAGAACAACAGCAGCAACAACAGCAACAACAACAACAAGCTTTAATTGAACGACATAATTTACAACAGGTCTTTATTTTTAAAATTTTAAATCATTACATTATAAATTTAAACTGAAATTTCTATTTATTTATTTTTATCAATTTTTAAAATAAATTTGCAAAATTTAAAGTATTTTGATTTTCAGGCTGGACTAATGTATTATCCAAATTTAATACTTTCCTACTATCAATATTTTATTTTGTAATTTATTCAATTACTAGCAGATAAGCCCGTTGTTGCTCGGGCAAAAAGTAACGATATCGAAGATTAAGATTATTACATTATAGCCAATCTTACCCATTTTCTCAGAATGCAAGAATTAGGTTGCCCTGTTTCCAGACTAATTAGAAAATTTTTAGATGGGTCTAAAAATATGTTTGATTTCTTGCAAAAACGCAAAAAAACAGCATCTGCACCTGTAAATCTTGCACATTGCTTTCTCTTAACACTTCAATTGTTACATATCCACTTCCATTGTTAACACTTCCCCTGTGGGGAAGTGTATCAAAAAATCCCTTCTTAGTGTATGTTCTCATGACACACCCTAACTGTGTACCAAATTTCAACCTTCAACTCCTAACCGTTTGGGATCTGCATTTCTTATTATTATTCAGAGTGGCTATTTCAAAGGGCAATTTTGGCAACTAAAAATAATAATGTCAATGATATCAACTTTAATATTCAAAAGAAAATTCAGAACTGGCAAGAGCTCCTCCTCTTTTAAGTTTGGGCATTGTATAAAATATAAATCAAATCAACTTTTTATTAACAAATACACTAAGTACACTTTACACAGTTTTCACACTTTATTTTTGATTTATATTCAATCACTGTATCACTTTGACTACTCACACTTCACTGTTTGTTTTTATTCACTCACTGCACTATTTTGGAATTTTCACTTCTTTTTTGGTTCTTCCCTTCGTCACTGATAAGAAACTGACGTTCGAACTCATGATGGATCTTGCTTTATATACCCCCACCAATGGGTAGTCCCATCCATACAAAAAAGGCTTCGAATGGTCCACAATGTTCCAGAACATTCCACAACATTCGAGAGTGTTATGGAATGTTCCACAATGATCTGGGATGTTCCGGGGTGTTTTTAAAAGTTCCAGAACATACCGGAACATCCTGGAATGTTATGGAATGCTGTCGAATACTCTCGAATGTTCTGGAGTGTTCTAGGAATTTCTAGAGGTCAAAACTTCCAGCCCTTATATCTTCAACAGCACGCCCTTTAGGTAAAAACAGGAACCTTCTTCATGGATGGGGGATAGAGGGCTACCACACCATATAACTCCCTTGATCATACTGGGACTCGTTTTTGAGTTTTAGCGGCACGCACATTGTACACTTTCCTTTATAATATATATTGAT